ACCTGTCTAACTGCCTGATTGACTATCTATCTATCTATCTATCTATCTATCTATCTATCTATCTATCTATCATCTATCTATCTATGTTTACCTAGATGGCGTACACATTCTATAGCAGTCTGTGACAGTTTAGGGCCCATGGTTGATACTACAACGATGGGCCCCCTTTAGGAAGACCCCCGACTAGGTGTGATGACTGGCTGCTGCTGCTGCTGTGGGTGAACAGCCTATGTCCAGGGACATTCCTGTGCCCAGGGAGAAGAGCAGACTGGACAGACTGCCGACTGGCTTTCTGCATGGAGAGAGGTGGGGAATGTTGAATCTGGGACATGGCCAGGCACAGTGGGCCATGAACTTTCCTTGGGAAAATACTCCGAAAGGGTCCCACACACCATCACAAAACAAGGCCTCCCCCTTTGCGGATGAGGCGGTAACCTGGAGAAGCAGAGCTCGGACACATCCACGTATCGGCAAGCTTGCCTGGATGCTCAGGGTTGGGCTTGCCTTGTGCCTCTGGCAGAGGGCGTCTTGACAGGCCAGGAAAGGATGCTATCGCCTCAGCCAAAGCAAGGCAGGCTGCTAACTATTCGGTATGTAGTCTGGCCAATTCAGGTAAAGGGTTCTCTCCCTCCCGCACCCTTTGGGCTCGAGTTGTTTGTACAATCATTCCTGGTAAAAAGATGGGGTTGTGTAGGTATTGATAGATTATGATACATTTAACTTACACTGGTAGTGTACCAGCTAGGGCCCAAGGGCACAAACAAAAGGTCGGAGGATGCCGGCCTCTTCTCCAACACGGAGGCTCATCCTTCATCCCTATACCCTGGTGGCTGGGGGTGGGGAGGCTCTATTCTACTTCCTTGCACAGAAGTAGGTCAAGAGGCAACATTCAGGAGCTCGGATTCTAAAGGTGGTGGCTCAGTCACTGAGGAGAAGGCTCACTAATGAATCGGAGCATCATCTCTTTATTCTCTTAGCAGTTCTCCCAGGCAATCAGCCCCTCCTAGATCAGACAGAGGCCATGAGCTTTCTGCCTCAGTCTCCTGACAGCACCCAGGTACGTGGGTGCAAGCATATATGGTGGGGAATTTTACCAGTGACCATTGTCCGTGTGGTGGGGCGCAGCTCTCTGGAGCACACACATTTATCACCTGCCAGGGAGGGGCCTCCTGACAACTATGGCATGTGTCCTTCTGGGGACGATCAGGGGGCCGGAGTCCTTTAGGAATCTGGGGCCTTGTCTAGTGTCACCCACTCATCTCGCTTTGGCAAATGGGTCTATTCATGCCCAGGAAC